AAACACCTTTCGTATGCTCAAAGACTATCAAGCCTTAAGCTGACAACACTAACTGAACGACGAGAAAAAGGAGACCTTATCGAACGATATAAAATCATGACCAAAATTGATAAAGTTAACTTTCACGTCCCTCAACTTCAACCTAACACGGAATCTTCAAAGAACAGTTTTTGGCCGCGTGGACACATTAAAGAACTAAAAGCACAGCTTGTCCGAAACTGCGCTGAAAGAAGCAACTTCTTCACCAACCGTATTGTAAGATTATGGAATTCTTTAACCCAAAATGTGGCGGACGCAAAGAACTTGAACAATTTTAAACACGAACTTTCTCTGCTACGGCATCTTTACTTAAGCTGAAATTAAAAAACTGTATTTTCATAACAGAGAGGCCTGGTGTGCCGCACTTTGTCAAAAAAAAAATTGTAAATTTATTTTTGACCAGGAATGAATTAACCAAACCAAACTTTTTGGGGCACCTAAAAAAAAAAAAATAATAATAAATAGATAAAATGGCTTACTCCTTTTCGATTGTTGACATGTCTCATTAAATCGGCTTTCTTTTATCCAGTCTAGGATCAGGGCACTTTTTATCAGGAAACGATGGAACAGTTTTAAGTCTTTATAAGTTATCATATATTGCACTTAGAGCAAATCCTTATTTTTTGACACGATCTACGATTTCACTTTTTATATATTAAGTTTATCTACAAAAAAAATTTTGAGTCACTTTTGAAAAGATTCTTGTTTAGCTGCATTTGACCTCATATTAATTAAATGTGTTTTAAATAAAAAAAAATTATTTAAAGCACATTTATGCTACGCATAAAACCATAAACTGAAATAATATGCTCGAATAATTCAGACTTTTCCGATAACTTCCGCATTACCCGTTAACAGAAGTGTTAAGAAATTGACTCTCTCCAAATTGACATTCATTATAGAATAAGTTGATAATTTAATGTAGTCATATGACAACTTTAGAAAACCACATGATTGATATTCTTTTTCTGCTATGTGACTCTATAGAGTATATCATCATTCCACATGAATCTATGTGAGTATATTATCATTCCACATGAATCTATGTGAGTATATCATCATTCCACATGAATCTATGTGAGTATATCATCATTCCACATGAATCTATGTGAGTATATCATCATTCCACATGAATCTATGTGAGTATATCATCATTCCACATGAATCTATGTGAGTATATCATCATTCCACATGAATCTATGTGAGTATATCATCATTCCACATGAATCTATGTGAGTATATCATCATTCCACATGAATCTATGTGAGTATATCATCATTCCACATGAATCTATGTGAGTATATCATCATTCCACATGAATCTATGTGAGTATATCATCATTCCACATGAATCTATGTGAGTATATCATCATTCCACATGAATCTATGTGAGTATATCATCATTCCACATGAATCTATGTGAGTATATCATCATTCCACATGAATCTATGTGAGTATATCATCATTCCACATGAATCTATGTGAGTATATCATCATTCCACATGAATCTATGTGAGTATATCATCATTCCACATGAATCTATGTGAGTATATCATCATTCCACATGAATCTAGCGTATTTATTAGAGATAGAGCTATAAGTACAGTTTCTTGTTGTTTTAAAAAGATGTTGGCGTCAAAATTAAAGTAAATATACTTTTCAGGACAATTCATATTATGAATTTATATGTGATACCTGCATACTTCTTATCATTAGAACTAAATAAATGTGAATGCATTTTTAAAAGTATTTGGTAAAGAGCATTATCAGAGCATTTGGTCAACCAGCATTTGGTAAAGCAGCATTATCACAAGTTGTTAACTTAACTTTTAGCTTGCACTCCAGTTAACATAGAGCAAGGTTTGTTCAAAATAATGGAAAAATTTGGAATTATGTTTTTCCAAGTGTTGCAAACCAGCTCGTGTAAATTTAAAAGGGTTAACTATGCGGCATTTTTGAATTTCAACATGTATATTTTTTGTTTCTAAAATGTTTATTTATATCAATAGTTTTTCATAAAAAGTTTAATTCTATCAGATATGGTTATGGATATAGGAACATTCAATTAAGCAGGTTTTGTGACTGTTTCATCTTTACGGTTTACAGCCTTGCGAATTTTTTTATTTTGTGACAATTGCAAAGTTTTAATATTATTAAAAGTATTACTACTCAACGTAGTGGTACTAGGTGAAATGCGAACTGTGAACCGCGAACTGCGAACTGGTAAAATGCGAACTTATTTGCAAACCATCGTCCTATTGGTTGTTGATGATGTAATGTTTTATTTCCGTTAAATAGCTCATTTAGCGGCATATTTTAAAGACTTTTAAGCGAAAAAATTATTTTAAAAAAATAAAAGGAAATTAAGTGAAACTAGACAAATACAATGTAAATTTTTTTTTTTAATAGACTGCCTGCCCAAACCAAACCCTCAGTCGATTTAGCAGCACTCCGTTGCGAGTCAGGCTATAAGATAGTCGATGTAGCAGCACTCCAATGCAAGTCAGGCTATAAGATAGTCGATGTAGCAACACTCCGTTGCGAATCAGGCTATAAGATAGTCGATGTAGCAACACTTCGCGCATGTTTTACAGTAAGAAAATAAATTTTTTATTTAAATAAGGTTTTAAAATAGATAATTAAGAATTATAGAGTTTTTTTATTATTATTTTTATCATAACAATAATGGTCTTTAAAATATAATATTTTGGTTCGCAAAAAAGTTCGATTTTACTGGTTCGCAGTTTGCGGTTCGCAGTTCGCATTTTACCGACAACCCAACGTAGTTAAGGAGAGATCCGAAGAAAAATATAGCGTTCAGGCCCTTTCGTTTTCAAAAAACGCAGTTTTATTTTGTGTGTGTTTTGATTGGTTTATTAAAAAAAAATCAGTTTTTTTGTGTGCGTTTTGATTGGTTTAATTTAAAAAAAAAATCAGAAGCTCGTTGTTTTATTTTGTTTACAAATATTCGGTTATTTGAAATCTACCAGTTTAATATTTTAACTAGTTACTTTAGAGCAGCCGTGGCGCAGTGGTACCGCACTAGCCTCAGAAACGTAAGATCCGTGGTTCAAACCCCACCTCTGGGCAAGTTTCGCGACATCGGTTGGGAAGGAGGCGTGAACTTCCTATTAAATGCTCTTCTGCGGTGCTCTGTTATAAGACCGTAAGGACTTCTTGGGGCACCTTAATCAACTTAAAAACCTTTTCTTTAGGTAGAAACCTTTTCTTTAGGTAATTTATTTAAACGACTATAAAGAGATAATGAAAGTAAATTTCTATGAGAGAAAATTAATATGAAAACTTTGATTTTAACGTTTTTACTGTTTACGGAAAGATAAAATGTGAGGTTTTTAGCCATTTATTGAATATTTTGATGCTGTAAACATGGTAATTTTTTATTTTTAAATAAAAGAGATACTTTTGGAATGTAAAAAAATTAACATATTTGTTTCACCTGTTTTCATGACGCTGCCCCGTCATGAAAACAAGTGAAAACCTTAGTTGAGTGGTTGTTTTTATTTTGTTTTATACTTTAATTGAAAAAAGGTTTATGAAAAAATAATAAATTTTATAAAAAAAGATTAAATTCTACTTTTTAAAAATATATAATAGTAATAGTTGAAAATAAGCGAGACACACAAAAAGGTAAAGTTTAAAAATGCAAATTTTTGTTTTTAAAAAATGTAGTTTTTTCGGATCTCTCCTTAACTACGCTGAGTAGATAATATACACAATCAACAACATAACATACAGAAAACAAACAGATAAATACAACAATCGACAAACAACAACAGAAAAAAATGTTTTAAATTTCAATCCTTAAATCTACAAAACACTTATTTCTTCATGAAATAAAGTTTCATAAAATTCTTAAAGTTTTTAAGTTTCACCTTTATTAACTGCTCCTCCCTTACGGAAATATTCCATGGAAAACCCATGGAATTCCATGAGTAAACCATGGTTTTCCCATGGAAAACGGGAATTCCATGGAATTTCCATGGGTAAATTTCATGAAAATTGAAATCCCGTGGAATTTCCATGGGTGAACCATGTTTTTTTTTTCAGCGCCATGGTTGTTACAAATGCGCTTTTAAACATGGCGTCATAGCTCGTAGAGTTATGATTATTTTTAACTTTAGAAAACAATACTTACTGCATTCTTCTGTTTTTCTGTGTTTAATAAGACTATGTATTATATGTTTTTTATAATGCATTACATTTATATGATTTAAACTAAACAAACAGACATAAACAACTAGATATATTTATCATATTATAATGCATTATAAAATGGATTATTTTTAATTATATTTAATTATATATCATTTATGCATATACTTATTTTAACTGTTTCCAGTAGCTTTACTTACTTTGCATAACTTGCAATAGTATAGCAAGTATGTCAAGTAAACCAGTTTGAATTTTAATGCCTACTTGGCAAATTATTTGCCAAATAATAATTATTTGGTTTACAACAAATAAATGTTTAGTTTTAATCTACATTAAATAACTAGTGTATTAATGTACATAGTGTAATTTAATGTACATTCAAACTAGTATAATTATTATTATAAAGCTTATCGAACATATTAAAGAAACTTATCTAAAATATTAATATAGAAGCAGTATATTAGATAAGATTAGATAACTAAGATAATAAGATTAGATAACTAATGTATAAAAGATAACTAGTATGATCTTTTTTATTTTTTTTTATAATAGCCTTAGATTACATAAAAATGCTTGAAGTTTATTGTATCGTAAATGTTCATTAAGTATTGAAAAACATTTTTTTATGATAAATGTTCTATTCAATTTTAGTTCTGTTAAGTTGTTTTTGTCTTTTTGTTGTTGTTTTTTCTTTAGAATTATTAGAATATGTAAATAATGTAATATAACTAATGTTTATAAATTCTTTTATATTTACTTTATTATTTTATTTAAATTACTATATTATAAGCCAACAGGTTTGACTGGCAATATAAATAATGTTGTTCATCGTTTATATTGTTTATAACATCGTCAGTTTTTATATGCATTTATTATTTTAAAAAATAGTTCAAAAGCTGTCAAAATAAAATGGTGAATTGAGTTTAAACCAGAAAAGATATAAACGTAATCTTTGGGATTCAACTTGTAAGGATGTTCCAAGAACCACTTAGTTGGAGAAGGAAAACTGTGGTAATATTTTATAAGTATCAGTAAGGAAATTTACTTAATGCACAAGATTTTACTTCATAGTTAAATATAAGCATATAAAAGCAATGTTTATAAATAATACACTATTATTTATTATAATACAATTATTTTTATTTGTTTATATTTAACTGATGTAAAGTGCTCGTCTTTGAATGTTTGACTGGAAATATAAACGATGTTGTACATAATGCAGATAGCTTAGGCAAAAAAGAGGTAACAATCTAATAATTTGTATTTATAAATAATGATATATTCATTGCTACTTTTTTCTATATAAATGTTACCTAACATTTGGCAACATTCATAATTGTGTATAATGCCTAATTATAAAGTAAGTTATAATAGATAATAATTATAAGTAAAATGAATTAGTAAATAAAGAAAACTAGTTAGAATGTATATAATAGTTGTATGATGTATTGTCTAGATTGGTGAAATGGAGAATGAGACTAACTAGGGTGAAAAAAAATGAATATTAATATGTGAATGGTACTTTGTTTAACATCTACCTGTTTCTACAGATACAGTACAGACGCATTTATAAATGGGCTTGATGTTTTTTTGAATTAAATATGTTGTATTGATGGTTCTTTTTAACTTGTTAAAACTTGAAGTTATTATCAAATTTGTATATACTATTTTTATCAAATAGTTAATATAAAATAATAAACATGTAAATTGTTTTATTTTCTGTAAAAATTGTTTTCTTGATAAATTTCAATTGTTTATCACTATGTATATCATTTATAGTATTATATTACTTTATTTTCAGTATGTTATACATATGCATGCATTAAATATGGTGGGGAAGTCAAGTTTTGATGTTTTGGGTGCATTATAGCTATTATTTTTCAAAGATTTGTAGGATTTAACAAGATTTACATTTTATTTTGTTTATTGATTTTATTTAGAGAAAGCGATCTCATAGATTAAGAGAACTCAATAATAGTGGGATAAAATTTGCTTTTATGATTTAATATGACAATTCAAATAACATTAGATAAAAAAAACTTGAAAACAAATCATGCTTTTTTACCATGAAAAATCCATAAGTTTTCCTTGGAAAGGTGTTCCTAATACCTATGGAAATTCCATGGTTTTTCCATGGATGGAAAATCATTGAATATCCATGGTATTTGGAACACTTTTCCATGAAAAACTTAAAGATTTTTCATGGGAAATTCATGTGTTTCCCATAAAAACTCATGGTTTTTCCATGGAAAACTCATGGTTTTTCCATGGAAAACTCATGGTTTTTCCATGGAAAATTCATGGTTTTTCCATGGAAAACTCATGGTTTTTCCATGGAAAACTCATGGTTTTTCCATGGAAAACTCATGGTTTTTTCATGGGAACGTGTTCCAAATACCCATGGTTTTTCCATGGGTTTTTTTTCTAAAATTCCCATGGGAAATTTTCGTACGGGCTGTAAAGCAGAATATTTATACCATATCAATTTATTAAAAATAGATGAATATCTCTCTGCATTATACCTCTGAGTATCTCTCTTCATTACTGCATTGATCAGTTACACAAAATTTGTCAGGATTTTTTACTAATTGACTTTACCAAACAAAATATGTTAACAGTTGATAATGATATTTCAAAAATGGGAGAGATAGCAAAGAAAAAAGTTGTTGAATAAAATACTATAGTCGTCGAAAAACAAATACAGCAAGAAAAAGGAAATAATGGTGAAACAGTGGCAAAACCGTAGACTGAATAGATTTTTAGAGTTTTTGAAAACATTTATTCAAAGTAATTATATTACAAGAGCTTTGTTAGTTTAAAATCTTGAAATGTCGATATTGTATATATGCAGCACTACCTTTTACAAAAGAATACATATGTTTATATTTAAACATGTAATACTTTTATCTTGAAAAATATTTTGAGCCATTCTTTTTTGTTTTATTTAACATAATTGTCATATTTATTACTTTTGTTTGTTATTTTATGATTGCCATAATAAAAAGTATTAAACTTGAATATCATTTTAAAAAATGGTATGGCGTGTGAGATTATTTTAACTTAATAGGTAACTATAGAAACTAAAGTACGTAACTATTGTGACTAAAGTAACTACGTATGTTTTGGAACAAAAAAAATCTTGTATGCTAAAATGCATATTGAAAACATGGAACGACAAAAGTTATTCTTTTAAGGAGTGCCATATTGTGTTTTAAAAATATGCCAATATTTGCTAATATTTGACTTGGATTGAATAAATACAGACTTCATTTGTAGTGTAAAGGAACACTTTATAACTTATTATAATACGCCCAGCACACACATTTATCTGTAAATATTCTCGCGTTTTTCTACCTTTAAACTGCATTAATTCATTTACATTCTTTTAAATGTTTGTTATACACTTGTGGGCCGGAAAAAAGAAAAAAAAAATCAGTTATAGAGTTGAGAAGGTTGTAACCACAATTAGAAAAGAAAAGAAAACAAAAACTACGCTCGTCGACCGCCCTCCAAGTCTTAGGGAGGTAAATTGAAACAATATTTATATATGTGATTCCTGTTGATTTACCAGAGTGAAAAAAATAAATTTTAATTCTCATGATTTATATTTTTAAAAAAATTGTTAAAAAAAGATTTTTTTACTCTTGTCAAGAAAAATAACTGCAACTGAAAACCTTTAAAAAAAAACATTGGTTAATATTTTATCCGGTATAACATCTTGATAAAATGCATGTTCTGGCCCATTAAACTACGTTAACAACAGCATGCAACCTTCTTAAATAGATCTAAAGTAGAGAGGTTAGAGAATTATGCAACGTGTCTCTAATTCCTTTTAATACAAAGCTTTTGGAATTTTAACCTAAAGTTCATGCTGTAATCAAGCACAAACCTGAGCTGAAATTTTAGATTGAAAACTACGAAATTGTTCATCAAAAACATACTCAAACTCGATAAAAAAAACTTCAATAGATTTGGAGTTTAAGCGAGCAAGCGATTGAATAAGTTTATTTAGGTTTTTTCAGATTTGTTTCATTCAGAGTCATACAGAAAACTAAAAATTAAAATAACTGCGCACTGCTCAAAGTATCTCTATTACTAGTTATTAACAAGTTATTATTAGTTATAAATTAGTTATTATTAGCAAAGTTTTGTTTAAAATAAAGTTTTTTTGTAATTTCATGTAAATTATAAATAAATATAAAACATAAAACAAATAAGTTAAGAGGTTTTTGGGGTGTTGTCTTGTTTTAGAGTTTTCCTTGTGTTATTATATGGTTATAATACTCATCCGTAGATAAGCCACCGTAGCAATTTAAACGCGTTAACTGTTTCTGCGTTCACATTGTTGGATAGCGAGTTCCAACAGTTAATGAAAAAATTGCTTCACAGTGAGCTGTTGCGGACTAATTAACTACTGTGTTGTCTTCTACAACCAGCTCTTGGCACTCTTGTGATTGTTGAAACACACCATTTCACTCAATCAGCTATTTTGAACAAATTGAGTGTTATTTAGTATATTTACAGCTAATTATACCATTCATTCAGTTAGCTACCAATTATATTTAATGAGAATTACACTCACCTGTAAATTAAAATTTAATAAAATATTATACCAAAATGAGGAAATTCAGGTATCAAATTATTTAAGTTGCACCATTTTAACTTAGAAAATAATCTCATTTTCACTATCTTGTAAAAAAAGAGTACAAAAGTGACACACCGCTAATATAAAATGACTTCAAATTATATTTAAAAATACTTTATACGCTGACGTTTTGGTCGAATTCAACTTATATATTTGAATAATAATTTGAATAATAATTTGAATAATAAAGACATTGTATAACAAGAGTATGACTTTTAAACATATACATATTTATATATGTGTATGTATATATACATATATATATATATATATATATATATATATATATATATATATATATATATATATATATATATATATATATATATATATATATATATATATATATATATATATATATATATATATATATACAAACACACACCCATGTTTAAATAAATTTTATCTACGTTTTTCAAAATAAAAATAGAAAGTTCCTCCTACAAGTAATTATTTAGTTATCATTAATTAAATTAGTCAAACTTGAAAACAAACTTAATATATTAAATTATTCGAATTTGATTCGTATCAATTTACAACATTGTTGAACACAGCAGATAAGAATTGAGGTTTTATGTAGTTTTGTATTGAATTTTTTCTTCCAACTGTTTTTTTTTCTTTTTTGCTTTTAAATTTATTTTTGTCTGTACAAGATGATTTTTAGTAACAGATGTTACATTTTTTTCATCATGATAAAAAAGAAAGAGAAAATTCTAAAATAAAACTTTATTATAATTCTATCTTTTAATTCTATCAAGTAAATAAAAACGTATGTGGTGCCTCTTAATAAAAGTAAAGTTTACAAAGTGAACAATATAAAACTGAATTCATCTCGTTATCATAAACACACATTTTATTTGTTTCAAATATGTCTCGAATAAAAAGCAATAAAAATTTAGAAATTGAGTAAAATTAAACTTTAGTATAACGTGAACCTTTTAACGTTTAAAAAGTCATTGTTTCTTGCATAAACAAAAGTATATGCAAATAAAAAAGAAATCAACGTAAAGAGTGTACTTAGCCTTTGAATTATTTAGGTGGTTATTTCAGTAGCAAACCTGTTTTTAAAAGCCATTTAATTAAAAAAAAGATACTAGACTGAAATATATCAAATCATATTACTTTTATTCTAAACTAAAAAACCCTAACCAAACCAATAGTTAACATAAAGTGAATGTAGCTAACACCTTATAGTTCCAACGTTGCTATGGCTACCAAAAATTAAAATTAAGTTTTTTAGTAAATCTTACTTTTAGGTGCCCACTTGGATAGTGAAAAAATCAAGTGAATAGTTTTTCAAATTTTCAACATATACAATACTTAAATTATATTACAACTGCTTATAAGCAATAGTAGTATTATTTAAATAATGTATTAAAAGAAGTTCAAAATTGCAACTGCAAACAACTTAATGCAAACTTGGTTGCATTAAGCGGCGTTTAATTAAACTCGAGCACCAAGCGATCAGCATTTTTCTGCTAAAGATTAATAAAGAAAAATAAAGATATGGTAAAGTAAAAAAATTTATTTCGCTTTTCTTCTAAACTAATTAAGTTTTTATCAAAACATTAAACACATTGTTATAGAATACAATAAAGTAATATATTTTTCTTTAACATTTGTTAAATGTTGCATTGTATTATATAAAGCAATTTAATGAGGAGAGAACATAAACCAAATTAAATAAACGGTAAGTTTTTAAAAAAAAAATTAGACACGAGTTAGAATTTAAAATAAAAAGATTGTATTAGATAGTCGAAGAAAAAATAGTTTGATCAATTAGATAAAAAGACAGACAATTAAAGGAAATGTTTTTATTTGATAAATTTTCATTTAATAAATAAAGAACCAAATGAAATGAAATATACAAACTCGAAAAATACAAACTCGAAAGATGAGCTTATTTATATTAATGTTAGTGGACAGTTATTTATTACTACGGCGCAAGTGTTAAACAACTTTCCTAATTCGTTATTAGGAAACAAAGAAAAAAGAGATCAGATTCAAAAAATTAACGGAGAACTATATTTTAACCGACATCCTAAAGTGTTTGAAAGCATTTTGAACTTTTATCGATACGGTATTTTAGAGCAACCTTCTCAAGTGAATCAATTGATTTTTGTTAATGATATTAAATTTTACGGACTTTTTGATGAAGCATTGGAAGTTGGAACGAAAGGGTTACATTTCAGGGAAAAGTATTTATCGTCTTGTAAAACAGATAACAACAGGCGGAAAATTCACAATCAAAGGAATTGGAAAATTTACAATCAAAGGAATTGGAAAACATATATATGGAGCGTTTTAGAATGTACCGATTCTTCCTTCTTTGCTCAAACTTTTTCTTTTTTTTCTTTGTTTGTAATAATTCTTTCAACAGTGGTATTTTGTATGGAAACAATGCCAATTTACAAAGGAAATGAGATTTCAAATAAAAATATAACAATCAAAAATACTTTATTAAATTTGGAGAAGTTTTGCATAGTTTTTTTTACAGTAGAAAGCGTAACTCGTTTCTTTACGTCTCCAAATAAACTGAGCTTCATTAAAAACATCTCCAACATTATTGACGTCATCTCAATTATACCATTCTACATCACATTAATTTTAAATGATAACGAAACAGTGTCAGCTTACGTGCTGCGCGCAATACGACTCACTCGCGTGTTCCGCATATTTAAACTATCACGTTATTCAAGCGAAATGATAGTTCTAGGTATTACAATAAAAGAAAGCTTTCTCGAACTTCGTGTTTTTTTACTTTTCATGTTTGTAGGTGTATTAATATTTTCAAGTGCAGTTTATATTGCAGAAGATGGAGACCCAGAAACACACTTTTCCAGTATTCCCGACGCTTTTTGGTGGAGTATTGTAACTTTAACAACAGTAGGGTATGGAGATGTGTACCCAAAATCTCAAAGTAAGTGTTTATATATTTTTGTATATTAGTCACTATACGTAAAAAAAATTAATAAAAAGGATGGAATTAATAAAACTAGCTGTCTATATACAATGGCGGCACAAAGTAAGGACAAATCCGACAGAATCTAGCATTTTTTACATTTAAGAGGCTCTAACAAAAGAGATTTTAAGAAATGTATGTTTTCTTATCCAAATTATTGAACAAAACATACAGAGTGAACACATATGTAAAATAAACATTGTTTTATTCATAATTGGTATGGTATCCTTGAGCTTTAATCACACACCTCATACGGCTAGGCATTGAGGCAAAAAGACCATCGATTGTTGTCTGTGAGATATTGTACGCGCCTTTTAACAATACCCACAGGTCATCCAAATTGGATGGTTTTTTTCCCTCAATGCTCCTAGACATAACACTCCATAAATTCTCGATGGGGTTCATGTCTGGACTCTGAGCAGGCCAGTCGAGCACGTCCACTCCATTTTGACGAAGGAAATTGGTTACCTTCTTTGCTTTATGACATGGCGCATTGTCATGCTGGAAGATAAACCAATTTCCTTGTCCAAACAGTGTATCAGGAGATGGTAGCATTGAGTCCTGAAGCACCCCAATGTATTGGTCTTGGTTCATGGACCCAATGCACCAATACAACTGCCCTACCCCGTGTCCAGACATGCACCCCCAAATCATAACACTACCACCGCCATGTTTCACAGTTGGTGCAATACAGTCTTTTTTGAACTTTTCACCAACTCTTCTTCTAACAATCAGTCTCTTTGCCCCACAGAATAGTTGAAATAAACTTTCATTGGAAAAAATAACGTTTTTCCAGTCCTCGACAGTCCAGTCTTTGTGCTCCCTGGCAAAGACTAACCGTCACCGGACGGCAGTCAGGCGACGATCCTGAACTGACATGCGGACCAGCACCCGATCAGTATGAGCCGTCGTCTTTTTTGGCCTTCCGGAACGTGCCTTGTCTGCTGTAGAACCTGAATTCTGATATTTCTTAACAATTTTCCTGATGCCGCCTGCAGTAGAACCCAAAATTGTTGCAATTTTACTATAATTTTCACCATTTTCTGCCATGAAAACAGCACGGAGGCGCTCTTCCTGGGACAAGCGACGATATTTTACCATTTTTTCTACAATAAAAAATACTGTTATTAGATCATTAAATTAAACTAAAACAGACAAAATAATATTAATACTGATAGTGAAGCTGTCAAAATGGAAACAGATGCTAATAAAACACAAAAAAATTGGCAAAAGTAAAAAAACTTTGTTGAGAATACCTTAAAACTCAATAGTTACCCTTGACTGCTGGTTCTCATTAACCATATTGGGCTTTAGATGACCTTAAATGACCTTAAATGGTGTATACTGACTCAATATGTGATTGGTAATATTATAAACATATATTTTTTACTAATAAGTAATGATGACATTAATATTACAATAAAGGCACATCACTTACCTCTACTAACTTGTTTCCTATGCTTAAAAGATGATAAACAACTTTCCAATGTGTTATATTAATTTATCAAAAAAACATGTGCTTGTTGCTAAGGTAAACAGGAAGTGCAAAGATATTAACGTGTCAGCACAACAGAGATCAATAAATGTAGCTATAACGCTTTCATCTGGTAATTATTTGTACAAAAGTTGCAGTAATTTAATTTCTGCTGGATTTGTCCTTACTTTGTGCCGCCACTGTATATTAAAAGTTAATAGTTCAAAAAAGTAGTAAAATATTTTTCATTATGATTAATAAATATCATAAAAACGGGTTTCTTGACACAACTGTAGAAAACTTTGTGTAACGACATGTATATGGTGTTTTACTCTCTAGCAGTTAAAGAATTGAATTATGAAGGCAAGACCATTTGGAACTCGATGGTTTATTTTAAATCCAATACGAAAATTGTGTAAAAAGTTTTAACAAGATTTACGGCAACAGCAGTTTTATTTAAATATTAAAAAAAAACAAGTTTACTTTTTGAAACTTATAGATGAGCAACAGATCAGAATTGAACCCGTTATTTAAGCAAACTTGTTAAAGTGTTTATAATATTTTCGATTTTAAGTATATAATACTTTAAAACGGTTAACGAAAAAAAATTAAAGAATAATGATTTAGTAAAAAAAAACTTCTTTTTTGATAGAAATTGGGACAACTGCAAAGCAAAGTGTGCTATCTTTAACCATCTAAAGAGAATACTCTTAGGTGCTTAATACATGGAAGGGGACTTTATTAATTTTAGGAAACTTTTCCCACTCACCCCAAGCTAATTAAGAGCCCCCGTTTATTAATTTTTATTTGTTATCAACAAAAAAAAAATTCTCAAAACTAAAAAAAAAATATCTGAAATTTTATATACCAGCCACATATACGATTAAAATACTTTAGTGTAAAAAAATCTTGTAAACCACAATTTTAAAAAAATAGGTTTTCATTTATTTCTTGGTAGCGGAAAAAATCCCCCCAATAATTTTTTATATATTTTTGATCTTTATTATAAATTTAATGCTTATTATAAGGCATAATAATGTGTCCATTTATCAACTGACTTTATTAGGAACAGGCGCAGTGGAGTGACCATTCATCGACTGACTAAAATAGGGACAGGCGCAGTGGAGTAGTGAGTGTTCATATGTAAGCTAAGGGTTATGGCTTAAAATAAAAAAGGAAATATTAGCATTTCTAAACTTTAGGACTTGTGTGACCTGGACACTTAAAGTAAGATAAAATTTAGATATTAGTGAAAAAGATCAACTTTAAATAATTTAGATCTTTGAATGAAAAGTTTTTATTGATTGTTTAGAAGAACCTTAATAATAATGTTATTCTACGAACCTGAGTACCCTCCGATTCGTTTGACGGGTACCCGGGAGTTTTCACGATTTTCAACAGCTCTATTGACAATATGAATGTCTTGTTTACCAATGAGAAATCCAAGACCACTCAATTAAATAGTACATTTGATAGACAGCCTCTTCTTATTTATAAAATGATTCACCAGGTTTCAAGTTATTTTTTTATTTCAAGTTGTAAGTAATTGTTTTTTAACTAAAGTTTTCATTTATACTTGCTTTTGCCTCAACTTATTTCATTTTACATCTTCAAAAAAGTTTGATAGGTCCTTATCTGTATATTCTATGTTTTTTCCTTCCTGATTTTGTATTAATTCAATACTTCATAACTTCTTAGTGTAAAATTGAAAACTTCTATCAAATAAAAAAAAAAAAAAAAAAAAAAAAAAAAAAACGGGTGCAGACATAAATTTTTTCTTTGTTATGTTTTTAATAGGTTTTTATTAAATTTTTTTCCAGACAAGCGGCAACTTATTAGGACCCTCTTCCCGTTAATTTTTTTTTAAATATAAAATCTTTTTATATAATAATATAAAATTTTTATATAATAAATATAAAATCTTTTTTGAAATAAGAAAAAGAAGTTGTGTTTTCAATGTATGTTAAACTCGCAGACCTAACTAATTTTCTTAGCACAGTAAATACTTAAGTATCGTGACAAATACGCAAAAAAATTTCTACCACTATTTTAATGTTTATTGAAACTTTAAACTTTTTTAAAATCTCTGTACGATTTGTCTGTTATTGTATATAGTATCATTATTTATGTTATGTCCATGCGACGGGATGTGAACCCTCGCGTTAGGGTGGAGAGAAAATGACCTTTTTCAGAAATACAAATATTCTTCCTGATTTCTATATTATTTATAACAACACTAAAAAAATAAGACCAAGATAAGCAAAATTGGCCAAAAGTTACCCCCTACATTAATTTGGCTAATATTACTTAAAATCGAAAAAATTAAATATTAGGCATATATTAAAATCCATGCTCTAACCCTACGGGCATTTGTTTTCTACTCCAAATACTCGGATTTGTTTTAAACTCCGAGTTTTAATACAAACCAAATTTCTAAATGTTAGTAATGGTATTTAGTTTGAATTAATAATATTATTTATAAATTAATAATACTTAATAATAATAGAACTATACTTTATAATAGAGTTTGTAATAATGTAAACTAATCGGGTATGGTTTGTGTTAATTACGAGTAGAGCTCGATTACCTGCCAAATATTAAACTCTTTAAAGTTTCCGAATTTTGCGATTTGTTTTAAGTTGGTACTTTCTTTATCGCAATTTATTTTATAATTTGAATTCCGTTTGAATTTAGTCTTATAATTACTAATATGAAAACTTATTTTTTAAATTTTATTAGCATAAAATTATTTCACTATATTTCTTATAATATTTTTCATATAAAAAAATTGTTAAAACTATGTATTTTTCTATGTACAGTATAATACTTTGTTATGCTTACTAATACCATGATAATACTATACTAAGATTTTGCTCGTTATATTTCATTAAATAGAATGTTAAGATATAAAAGAGAGAATCTATTATTGGGGTATTCAAACCATTCTCTGAGGTGCAATTGCCAAATGGGATAGATGTAACCCATTTGTTAGAAAATATAAGCAACCTATACTGCATATTTTTTCTCAAATAGTAGTACAATTAAATATATATCATAATTTTACAAAAACCTCCTGGAAAAACCAAAATTAAGAACGAAATAGCTTTAACAGCAAAATATACCATATTATATATTTTGCTGTTAAAACAAAATTATTGTTTTCGTAAAAGTATTGTTACGTAAAATGTTACGTCTCGGTTACGTATAAGTAACAGACATTTTGCACGTAACGTTACGTTGCAGTGTTACGAATTGTTATGTAATATGTTACGTCTTGGTTACGTAAAAATAACGGAAATTTTACGCGTATTGTAACGAATCTCGTTTACGTTACAATACGTAATGTAACTTTAAAATGTTATAGGGGAATGTGTCACTGTTTACATCATTTACAAAGAAAGATGTTAATTTTTTGAACAAAGCAAAAAATTCCTACTGCTGACAGAGAAAATGAAAATAAAAAATTTCAGCTCTTTAAAGACAAACTAGCCAAATTGATTAATACATCTGCTTGCCAATGCTAAGATGTTAGATAAAGCTACTATGGTGTACATTTTTCTGGAAGATACAAGGAGCAAACTTAAAATTAGCTGTTGGATCAATAGACAAAAATTTTTTTGCTACATGCAAATGAGATTCCACTACGTCATTTGTTTGTGGAGTTGAATGGACCAAAATCTGGTTTTAGATACTATTCAGGCTCAATTAAAAAGTTTTTTGTAACTTGTGAGATTTTAAAGGTTGTTTATTTTCAATCTATAAACCATAATGTAGAAATTCCAGAGCGTTGAATGAAAAATGCTCACTACAGATCAGCTTTGCCTTCGACATCTGTACTAAGTGACACTTGTTCTGCCAATCTAGCCCAGGACAACTGCCTCAATCTTGATAGCTTACCACTGCCAATGGGGTCCTCAGATTATATTTTTCTACCACAATCCTTCATCAAATTTGGTAACAATAACGGTATACAATATAAGCGTTTATATCCTTACGTGGTTCATCATCAAAAAAGAGTCTATTATCGGGGTAGTAACCAACGGGCAGGTATCCGTGTACCCATCGACAGCCTTAATTATGAACAACTATCTCTTTAGTTTTAGAAAAAATATAAACACATCTTTCTTGGTTAAGTCATTTCTGGGTCTGATAGTTTTACCTTCTTTAAGAAAGTCAGGAGTTAAAGCATTGTTAAACGATCTCTTATATATCTCTAAAAGCGATCCTCTCATATCTCTCTAAAAGTTATTAACGCCTGTAAAGAAAATGAAATAAAGTTTGTTTGCCAACCCTTTTTTACCACGCAAATAACTCAATCTATAGATAAAGCTTTCTTTAAACATCTAAAAACAGCTTGAGGTAAAATTACCACAGAGTAAAAAGGCTCTCCTGCTGTATGTATAAAAACATCTCTTAATAATAAAGTTTTCCGGAACTTTTAATTGAGTTATTGATTTTTATTGAGATATTAAGGTATTGAGCAGCCGTAACGCAGTAGTTAGCGTGCTTGCCTCAGAAGCTAGAGATCCGCGGTTTAACACCACATGTGGCCAAGTTTTATAGCATCATAAAGGAAGGAGGTGTGAACTTCTTTTCTAACGCTCTTCCGCGGTGCTCTTGGGGCATCTAAAAAAAAATTACGCTTAAAATGTAAAAATAAGGTTTCACAAAGTGTTTTGTATATCTGGTCAATGTCAATAAACTTCTAACGCAGTTTAGAGAATGAAAATAGTGTGACCAATGAAGCTTTTTACATTAAAAAAATTATAAAAAAAACTCGGCATGTAAAAGTTTTAACATATAGATTTGGAGAAACTTGATGAGTTTCAATCCATAAACATTCAGTAGCATTAAAAATCAAACTAAAAAAAGTTAGATAAAAAAAGATAAAAATGAG